AGTCTCTGAGAATCGGCGGGTTTGGAGGATGTGTTGGGCGCCGCGGCCGCTCCAGAGCGTTCCGGAACGCTCTGAGAGCGCTCGGAGCGATTTATCCCGATCCCAGCCCTGTTTTACCACTCCTGCCTCCCTCCCGGCCTCGTCACTTCTTCCTTCTGCACTGCAGGGTTGCAGGCGGCGGGGGGGACTGAACCAGGAGGAGGAGGCGGAGACGCACAGGCCGACCAGGCCTGCTGCCGCACAGCCTGCCCCAGCGAGCCCCCCCCCCACCACCACCACCCTCCTCCGTCCTCCCCTCCCCCTCCCCTCCTCCTCCTCCTCCTCCTCCCTCCTCCCTCCTCCCTCCTCCCTCCCCCCGCAGGACCAGAGTCCGGGGCAGCACACACGCTCAGAGTGCGGCCAGAGTCCCGGCCGTCGGCCCGAGCTCCGTGGCGGAAGCGCGGCCCGGACGCCCGCCGACCGGGGCCCGGCCCGGGCACCCGAGGCGGAAGCGCGGCCCGGACGGTTTCTGACCCTGGAGCCTCGCCTCCTCCTCCTCCTCCTCCTCCTCCTCCTCCTCCTCACTGTCCTCCTCCTCCTCCTCCTCCTCACTCTCCTCCTCCTCCTCCTCCTCCTCCTCCTCCTCCTCCTCCTCCTCCTCCTCCTCCTTCTCCGCAGATGTCCTCCCGCGTCGTTCCCTTTTGCGCTCTTCCACTTCCCCTGGGGAAGGCCCCCCTTTTTGATAGTTGTTTGGTCGGCGGCTCCAAGGCAACGGTCAAGGAGCGGAAGCGGCGTCCGGGATGCGGCACGGTGCGAATTTGCGAACACAGCCGCCACTGTCGGCAAGCCAGTTCGCACGTGCAAAGCAAGAGCGCAGTTGCACATGCACAGTCGGGGCCCTGACGAAGGAACCCTTTTGGTTGGGGAGGGGCTCGGTGTTCCTTAGCTGTTGTTGCAGTTCGCCTTAAGTTTTGCTTCCAGTTCCGATGGGACATCGAAGTTTAACCTGTAGGAAAGAGGGGCCTCGTTCCTTATTTAGGGCTCCTTAGGTCAAGGCCCCGACTGTATTCATCTCTTTTTGATAGGCGCACCGGCCAGAAAAGAAGATGTGATGATTTTGGGTCGGTTTTTCCCAGAGAGCTCTCTGAAAGTTATAAAATTTTCGAATCCCAGAGAGCCCTCTGAAAGCTAGAGGCTTTACTCGCCAGCAGCCCACCAAATTTTTCTCGCGCGCCCAATCTGTATCACCGAGCCCGCAGAGCGCCGGCACCCGAGCGCCCACGGCGGCCAGGTTGCCCCCGCGGGGCGGGGCGCCCGAGGCGGGGCCCTGGGACGGGGGGGTTGGGGTCTACGGGTGGGGGATGGCAGGAGGAGGAGGAGGAGGAGGAGGAGGAGGAGAGAGAGGCGGAGGAGGAGGAGGAGGAGAGGGGAGGAGGAGAGAGGAGGAAGGAGGGGAGGAGGAGGAGGAGGAGGAGCTTTCCCCTGTACGCTTGTATAGCCAACGGGGTCTGGCTCCCCGATGACCCCGCCTGCCAGGTCGGCACACGAGTCAGCAGGCGCCAATCGGGTGCGCCTTCGCGTTGTGCCCGCCACTCTGGGGAGGGAGCGCTAGGAGGTCCGTGAGATTGCCGTGGCTCCCCCCTCCTGCTCTGACCTTCCTTGTCGTGCCTGCTGCCCCCCTCTCCTCCTCGCCTCCGCCTCCCCCTCCACAATTATTCAAAATGAAAATGCTCTCCATCTTCCCCTGATGGCGTCCGGGTGATGGCCGCGCACCCTCCGCGTACTGTTTTTTTACACACAGGATTCCCGGGAAATCCCGGGAAACGACTCTCGCTGAGACCCCGGCGTCATTTTTTCCCAAAATGCTGCTCTCGTTGAGGCGCCGGCCTCATTTCTGCTCCCGAATCGTTCCGAATCGTGCTCCCGCTGCAGCGTGGGCCTCATTGTCGGATCGGTGTTTGGCCTCCCTCGTTCAGGATGGCGTTCTCGCCCCAGCGCGGGCCTTTTTCTCGCGCGCCCATCCGCCCGCCACCACCGCACCGCACCACCACCACCACCACCACCACCACCACCACAACCACCACCAGCCACAGCACCCACCACCACCACCACCACCAGCACCACCACCACCACCACCACACCACCACCACCACCATCACCACCACCCCACCACCACCACCACCACCACCACCACCACCAACCACCACCACCACCACCACCACCACCACCACCACCACCACGACAACCACGCACACACGCACGCACGCACGCACGTGCACCACCACCCACTACGCACGCGCGCGCGGAGCCACAGGTCCGCTACGACACGCGTCCGCGGATAGAGAAAATCAGCGCCATGGTAAGGGATGGGTGGGAGGGGTAGGACGTCAGATATGACGCGAGCGCACCTAGCTTGTCCTCCTCCTCCTCCTCCTCCTCCTCCTCCTCGTCCTCCTCCTCCTCCTCCTCCTCCTCACTCTCCTCCTCCTCCTCCTCCACCTCCTCCTCCTCCGCTGATGTCCTCCCGCGTCGTTCCCTTTCGCGTTCTTCCACTCCCCCCGGGGAAGCCCCCCCTTTCGGCTAGTGGCGCCACTTTACACACCAGCCCTGCGGAGCAGGGCTGGGATGGCTAAGTCTGAACGACATTCCAGTCGTCAGGTATTCCGGTACTCAGACGGAAGAGGGGGAGGGGAGGCTGTTGGATCGAGGAGGGTGCACGGCAGAGGGAGGAGGGAGGAGGAAGAGATGAGGGGGACAGGGGCGGGGCGGCGGTCGCAGCCAGTGCCGTCCCAGGTGGTCAGCATCCTCCGCGCCGCGCCGTCCATCGCCCTGCTGCCCCCGCTTCACCGGTGGGAGCTCGCGAGGAGCGGCGCCGCCGCTCCTCTTCTACTCTGTAAGAACGGTTTTTTGAAGGCAGATCTGCCTTCAAAAAACCGTTCTTACAGAGTAGACCATTTTTTGAAGGCAGATCTGCCTTCAAAAAACCGTTCTTTTGAAGGCAGATCTGCCTTCAAAAAACCGTTCTTACAGTGCAAGAGCTCCGGCGATTGTGCTGCGCTGTTCGGTCTGGGCGCTTCTTCCCCTCGCGTTCGGCCTCTGGGGCCCGTTGTCGGCCCCCTGGGTCACCAGACATGTATACATAGTTACAGTGCCGCTTTTAGTACATGCTCCGCGTGCGGATCACGTATCAAACATGCAGGGATCTAGTACGAAAAGCAACGAGGAGTTCATGCATACATGTATTCATAAGCGGATCATGTATGCTAAAAACCTATATATGTAAACATCATATCTATTTAAAAAACTGCCCTGTAAGAAAATCAACAGGGGAAATAGGCGGGGACCTGGAGCCGCGCATGGAAGAAAGCAGGTGGTCGGATGGATGGGCAATGGCGAGGACCCAGAGGACAAACAGGGCCGATCGATGGCCCACGCGCTCCGCCCTGTACAAGTGCCGCCTCAGCAGGGACAGCTATAACGCAGGTGGTGCGTAAGAGTCACGTGTTACCCTGAAGGGTGCACGTGGGGGATCTTGAGCAGCCCTGCGAGGTTGCGATTCCTCTGCCCAACGATCGGGCACTTTGACTTCATGCGTGCCGCTACGCCAATTCGGGCCCACCGCACTTTGGCGCGACACGCAAACCACGTCCCAGCCCCCAAGTGTCATCGTCCCGAGCCTTTTCCGAGCCTTCCGCCCCGAGGGAGCCGTCGAGGACTCCTCTCACCTCCTCTGTCGGCTGCGGCTCGAGCGCGAGGGGGTCCGTGGCCAGTTTGGCTCCCGCAATTTTGACTCCTGCCGCCCCGTACCCTCAGGTCCTCCCCGGTGTGGGTGGGGCGCCAACCAGACCCAGACCCCCTCGAGTCATGAAAAAATCACGACGGGAGGTTTTTCATTATTTTTGGACTCTGGGGGCCCTTACCAGCCCTCGGGACCGTCAAAAAACGACTCAGGACGAAAAACCGGTCCTGGGGAATGGGTCCAGACCTCTGGGGGTCGACGTCATGAAAAAATCATAACGTCGGGGGTCTGGGGATGCACCCACATTGGTCCCGACCCGGCCAGTCCTGGGCCCACGCCTTCGGCGGAGGCTAAGGACGCGGAACAGGCCCACACGGAGTGCTTGGTCTCCATCTGTGCCTACTCCGTCTGGACTTGGCCTCTCCTGCTCGCGGGCGAAGTCCATACGGCGCAAGTCCGCACGGAATGCTCAGGGTCAACTCCGTCCCCTCTGGCATGGCAGGAGGCGCTGGGAGGGCTCAGGCCCGAAGGGGCCCGAGGTTTTGTGCTGTTCTCGAGGCCCCCAGCCACCGGGGTTGCCCGCGGACGGGGGCTCTCGAAGCTCTCACTCCCGGGCCTCTGGCCAGCGCCGGAAGCCTCGGTGTACGTTTTGCGCCACTCCGTCTGGGCCTACAGTCAGCCCGCGTGAAAAGGATGGGCGACCTTCCCAAGGGTACCCTTGCATCCTGGACCCTTCGGCCCATCATTGGCCACTTTTGCTGGCCGCGCCCCGCTCGGAAAGCTTCGAAATGGCCTTCCGGGGCCATTGCATCCTCATCGCGCATCCTTCTGGGACGGGCCGGCTGTGCTCCGTCTGGGCTGAGCCACTCCTGAAGGGCCTCTCCTGATGGCTGTAGGGCTCGTCGAACGCAGCTCCCTCCTCCTCCTCCTCCTCCCTGCTTCTCCTCCTCCTCCTCCTCCTCCTCCTCCTCCTCCTCCTCCTCCTCCTCCTCCTCCTCCTCCTCCTCCTCCTCCTCCTCCTCCTCCCTCCTCCTCCGCCTCCTCCTCCTCCTCCTCCCTCCTCCTCCTCCCCCTCCTCCTCCTCCTCCTCCTCCTCCTCCTCCTCCTCCTCCTCCTCCTCCTCCTCCTCCTCCTCCTCCTCCTCCGCCTCCCGCTGGGTCCGAAATCGCATTCGGGGGGAGAAGCAGGACGTGCTCAGCGGAGGACGGTGCGGGTGCACCGAACAGTTGGCGCCCGTGCCCGCGGCGGCCAGCGGCCTCGCGCGGCGGGTGGGGGCGGCCACATGGCGCTCCGTGCCGCCGTGCGCAGGGGCCTCCGGCGCTGCAGCAGCAAGCCGGCGGCGAGCGAGGGGGGGGGGGGGGGGAAAGGGGGAGAGGGCAACCCTCCCCCCCTCCCTCCCTCCCTACCTCCCTCCTCCTCCTCCTCCTCCTCCTCCTCCTCCTCCTCCTCCTCCTCCTCCTCCTCCTCCTCCCCCTCCTCCCTCCTCCTCCTCCTCCTCCTCCTCCTCCTCCTCCTCCTCCTCCTCCTCCTCCTCCTCCTCCTCGTTCTCCTCCCACTCCTCCACCTCCTCCTCCTCCGTTTTGTGTACAGACATCTGCTGCGTGCACCTGGTTTTGGGCCCGCCGCCGATGTCTCGCCCCCAGCGACAGCAGGCGCACATAAGGTCAGCTACAGCCGGACCGAGGTATAAGATCGAGGTCGGCTCGGGGAGAGTACCCTGATGTTCTTCCTGTTTGTTGGATGTTCTGGTGTATCCTTTCGCCCGACCCGACACCAGGGGGGCCAGACCTGATCCTGGAAATCGAGGTCGGCGGCGTGCGAGGGGGGGAAGTGAGATGGAGAAGGCCTTCACAGAAGGCGGCGGCGGCAGGACTTCTCAGAAGCCGTCCGGCCTTCCGAGAAGTCTTCTGCGTCTTCGGGGGAGGGCTCGAACATTTTTCAGGAGGCTGGAGGACTTCCGAGCCTTCTGAGAAGGGCCGCCCCCCCGCCCCTTCTCACTTCCCCCCTCCTCCTCCTCCTGGTCCTCCTCCTCCTCCTCCGCCTCCTCCCTCCTTACCTCCTACTTTCGCTCCTCCTCCTTTCCTCCTCCTCCGCCCTCCTCCTCCTCTCCGGCCTCCTCCCTCTCCTCCCTCCTCCCCCTCCTCCGCCGCCCTCCTCCGCATCCTACCTCCTCCTCTCCTCCTCCTCCTCCTCTTCCTCCTCCTCTTCCTCCTCCTCCTCCTCCTCCTCCTCCTCCTCCGTTTTGTGGACAGGACCTGCTGCGTGCACCCGGTTTTGTGGCCCCGCCGCCGATGCCTTTCCTCGGCATCTCGGCGCCTCCAGCGACAGCAGGCGCACATAAGGTCAGCTACAGCCGGACCGAGGTATAAGATCGAGGTCGGCTCGGGGAGAGTACCCTGATGTTCTTCCTGCTTGTTGGATGTTCTGGTGTATCCTTTCGCCCGACCCGACACCAGGGGGGCCAGACCTGCTCCTGGAAATCGAGGTCGGCGGCGTGCGAGGGGGGGAAGTGAGATGGAGAAGGCCTTCACAGAAGGCGGCGGCGGCAGGACTTCTCAGAAGCCGTCCGGCCTTCCGAGAAGTCTTCTGCGTCTTCGGGGGAGGGCTCGAACATTTTTCAGGAGGCTGGAGGACTTCCGAGCCTTCTGAGAAGGGCCGCCCCCCCGCCCCTTCTCACTTCCCCCCTCCTCCTCCTCCTGGTCCTCCTCCTCCTCCTCCGCCTCCTCCTCCGCCTCCACTCCTCCTCCTCCTCCTCCTCATCCTTCTCCTCTTTTCCTACTCCTCCTCCTTCCTCCTTCCGCATCCTCCTCCTCCTCCTCCTCCTCCCTCCTCTCTCCTCCTCCTCCTCATCCTCACCTTTTCCTCCCCCCCCCCGCGCTCGCCGCCGAGCGAGGGGTGGGCGCCCCCGGCCGTCGGGGCGGACCTCCACAAGCTGCAGGCAGCAAGGCCTTATACGGGCAGTGCCAAGAGGGGGGGGGGGGGGGGGGGGGGGGGCGGGGGGGGGCGCGGCCCCCCCGGGGCCTCCTCACCTCCTCCTCCTCCTCCTCCTCCTCCTTCTCCTCTTCCTCCTCATCCTCCTCCTCCGCCTCCTCCTCCTCCTCCTCCTCCTCCTCTTCGCCTCCTCTTCGCCTCCTCTTCGCCTCCCCCTTCTCCTCCTCTTCGCCTCCTCCTCCTCCTCGGGGGCCCCCGGGGGCCCCCCAAGCGGTGCGGGACCACACCGCGTGCCTCATACCCAGACCCCCTCGAGTAATGAAAAAATCACGACGGGAGGTTTTTCGCCATTTTCGGCCTCTGGGGGGCCCTCACCGGGCCTCGGGCGCGTCAAAAAACGACTCAGGATGACAAACCGGTCCTGGGGAAGGGGTCGGGACCTCTGGGGGTCGACGTAATGAAAAAACCATTACGTCGGGGGTCTGGGTAGGCCTCCTGGATGGGGTCCGAGTAGATTCAGTTGAGCGGAAGATCGGGACAAATCGGAACCAGAGATTTTGGGAGTGATCCAGAGAAAAATAGAACGCCGATTTGTGGAGCGTCGCGCGCGCATTCGCAGAAGTTCCCAAAGAGTGTTCGAGGGCTTGAGGAGCCCAAGTAACACATGGGCGCTCAATTAAACTGTTGAGGGCGGGCAGAAAATCTGGTGTGCACGAGCATTGTGAGCGGGTGCGCGGCTTGCACGGGGGGCGCAGTAGGTTTGCGTTTCAGGGACTTGGGCGCCGGCCAATGCGCTGATGGGGGGCCCGAGAATGCGTCACACATATTACGCCTGTGGCGCCATGGAGGCCGCATTTGCGGTTGCCGGTGGGCGGGCGCCCCGCCGCGCGCACCGTGGCGACAGCTCTCTTGGGCGCCCGCCCGCCGCCGTGGACGTAGTGGACCAAGCTAGTCTCTCGGTCGGCGCGCGGCGGGTCGGCAGCCACGACGCTGGCGGCCTGAAAATGCTTCGAAAGTGTTTCTCCCCGAGCCCGGGGGTATTGTACGTTTTCGGTGGCACGCGCAGCTCGGAGAAAAATCGCCTTGTTCGTCGGCGGCCAGTTGGCTGTCGTCGCGCAGAAGTACCGGCGGATGGCGCGGTCCACGCTCAGCGCAGAGAGCGCGTCCATGAGCGTGGACTCGTCGAGGGGCAGGAGGAAGGACCTCGCGGTCGGGACCATCGCGGCCCGCGATGTCCACGGCCCCCACCCTGGGCGCGCGAGGACCTGCTGGGCGCCGCCGCAGCGCGATCTCAGAGGATCTCGGAACCAGAAATCCGGGCGCGCCAAAATTCGCGGGCCGAAAAACTCTCAGAGAGTTTCGGCCAGCTCCGAGGTTTTGGGTTGATGGGAATGTTTCACGCGGGGTGGCTAGTCCAGAGATTTTCAGAGATTCTCAGAGAAGTTCGGACGCGAGAATTTGGCGCGCCCCGGTTTCTGGTTCTGTGAATCTCTGAAAAGCGGTTCCTTAGGTTTTACCGGGTCTCCAGGCGTCCTACTGTCAGCCAGAGACGAGCGACTGGCTGGCGCCGCGCCCGATGCTTCCGGAGTTGCGAACTCGGTCTTCGATTCCCTGGGGCCCGCGGTCCCCTGGGCCAATTGCGAGGTTGCCGAGCCCCCCAGGCGGTTGCGCGCGATTGTCTCGGAAACCGGAGTTGGGCATCCATGGTGGACGCCCGCGCGCACGCGTTAGGTGTCCGCGAGATTGTTCGGTGGCGGATCTTGCATGGCGCGGTGATTTTCTAAAGACTTTCCGGGGTGTTCTCTACGGTTATTTCGGCGCGTTTCAGGAACCTTGGGGCGGCGCGGGGAAGTCGCCTGGCCGCGCGCGTGACTTGTTTTCCAATGCCGTCTTGGGCATTATCGCGGTGTTGCTTGGCCGAAGAGGTCACTGAGTCACGCGATGTTTGACATTTTCGTGTTTTTTTCGTTGCGTTGGTTGCGCGATTGCTTTGGCGGTCCGCCTCCTTGGGGCCCCCTTTGGGCCTCAAGTTTGTTTTGTTGACGTCGGGTCTTCTGGAGTGAAAGGCGCTTGGCGCAGAATTCCCTCGGTCGTGCGCGTGGCCAAATACGCGCCGCGGCTTCATCCGCGCCGGGGCGCTACTCTTCCTTCGCGAAGCCGATGGCGCCCAAGGCATGGCAGGCCCGTTCGGCGGCGCCCCCGGTGATTTGAAAAACCGAGCATGATTTTTATCCCGGTCAAATTTTGCCCCGATCCCGGCTTCGTCTTATAGATGGGGTCGGAGGATCGTGCCCCACTGGCAGGGCGTCGGCGATGCGGCTCGATGTGGGGACCGATCCTCGCCACGCCGACGTCGCCGCTGCATCGCCTGCACGTCGCTGGTGCATCGCCAGTGCATCGCCGATGCACCGGCGCTGCGGTGCGATCCTCCGACGCCATCTGCTCCGACCCCACCTATATCAGAGCGTGAATCACCTACCCCGCTTTCGCTTCCAGGCAAAACCAAGTCATACCACGCGCCTCCTCGTCAAGCGGCCTGACCAGTACAGGCCGTAGTTTGGCATCGTTTGGTATCTCTTGGAAGCGAGGGTGGTCAAAAGCGAGGTAGGTTTTTTCCCAACCATCCTGTGGTGTTGGGTCCTCGTTTTGAAGAGACAGCGCCCCGCGTCCACTCCTCCCGCTGCCCCCTTCCTCCTCTTCATCCCTGCGTTTCACCCACCGCTTCGTGGCCCCATAGGGAGCTCCACCGAAGGCCCCACTGGCAGGGTTCGCATGGCGGCCTCGGGCCATTTCGGCACACCCCTCACGAAGATCGTGGCCCCATAGGGAGCTCCACCGAAGGCTCCAGTGGCAGGGTTCGCATGGCGGCCTCGGGCCATTTCGGCACACCCCTCACGAGGATCGTGGCCCCATAGGGAGCTCCACCGAAGGCTGCAGTGGCAGGGTTCGCATGGCGGCCTCGGGCCATTTCGGCACACCCCTCACGAGGATCGTGGCCCCATAGGGAGCTCCGCCGAAGGCGCCAGTGGCAGGGTTCGCATGGCGGCCTCGGGCCATTTCGGCACACCCCTCACGAGGATCGTGGCCCATAGGGAGCTCCACCGAAGGCCCCAATGGCAGGGTTCGCATGGCGGCCTCGGGCCATTTCGGCACACCCCTCACGAGGATCGTGGCCCCATAGGGAGCTCCACCGAAGGCGCCAGTGGCAGGGTTCGCATGGCGGCCTCGGGCCATTTCGGCACACCCCTCATCAGGATCGTGGCCCCATAGGGAGCTCCACTGAAGGCGCCAGTGGCAGGGTTCGCATGGCGGCCTCGGGCCATTTCGGCACACCCCTCACGAGGATCGTGGCCCCATAGGGAGCTCCACCGAAGGCGCCAGTGGCAGGGTTCGCATGGCGGCCTCGGGCCATTTCGGCACACCCCTCACGAGGATCGTGGCCCCATAGGGAGCTCCACCGAAGGCCCAGTGGCAGGGTTCGCATGGCGGCCTCGGGCCATTTCGGCACACCCCTCACGAGGATCGTGGCCCCATAGGGAGCTCCACCGAAGGCGCCAGTGGCAGGGTTCGCATGGCGGCCTCGGGCCATTTCGGCACAGGGAGCCATAGGGAGCTCCACCGAAGGCCCCAGTGGCAGGGTTCGCATGGCGGCCTCGGGCCATTTCGGCACACCCCTCACGAGGATCGTGGCCCCATAGGGAGCTCCACCGAAGGCGCCAGTGGCAGGGTTCGCATGGCGGCCTCGGGCCATTTCGGCACACCCCTCACGAAGATCGTGGCCCCATAGGGAGCTCCACCGAAGGCTCCAGTGGCAGGGTTCGCATGGCGGCCTCGGGCCATTTCGGCACACCCCTCACGAGGATCGTGGCCCCATAGGGAGCTCCACCGAAGGCGCCAGTGGCAGGGTTCGCATGGCGGCCTCGGGCCATTTCGGCACACCCCTCTCGAGGATCGTGGCCCCATAGGGAGCTCCACCGAAGGCCCCCAGTGGCAGGGTTCGCATGGCGGCCTCGGGCCATTTCGGCACACCCCTCACGAGGATCGTGGCCCCATAGGGAGCTCCACCGAAGGCGCCAGTGGCAGGGTTCGCATGGCGGCCTCGGGCCATTTCGGCACACCCCTCACGAGGATCGTGGCCCCATAGGGAGCTCCACCGAAGGCGCCAGTGGCAGGGTTCGCATGGCGGCCTCGGGCCATTTCGGCACACCCCTCACGAGGATCGTGGCCCTATGGGGAGCTCCACCGAAGGCCCCAGTGGCAGGGTTCGCATGGCGGCCTCGGGCCATTTCGGCTCACGAGGACCGTGGCCCCACTGGAGCTCCACCGAAGGCGCCAGTGGCAGGGTTCGCATGGCGGCCCCGGGCCATAGCGGCACATCCCTCACGAGGATCGTGGCCCCATAGTTGCGCTGCTTCAACAACCGCGCATGGGCGTCGTACTCCGCCTTGTCGACGTGCAACGCCACCTCCTCCCTCATGGCTCTCAAGGCCTTCTCCTGCTTCTGCTCCTCGGTGAGAGGGACGCCGTCCTTGTCGTCGTCGGCGCCCGCGAAGACGGCCACGAACGTGTCCCTGAGCATGTCGGGCTCCGGCGGGAAGCCGTGGCCACATAGGGAGCGCAGGCGAAGATGGCATTCACAATTGCGGCATTCACAACTGCATATGGTTGGGTCCTTCGCCAGGATAATTTTTCCCCTCACTATAGGAGGCCTCGAGTGCCGAGTCTGTGGGGATGCAGGGTGCAGCGGCAAGCGGGGGGGGCGAAGTGAGAAGGAAGAAGGAGGAGGCCTCCTCGCGGGGCTTCTCGGGAGGCCTCCGGCCTCCGAGCCTTCTGAGGGCCGGGGCCGTCTCCTGCTCGCTTCCCCCCCTGGCCCATGGGGCTGCAGGAGGTACTCTTTCGGTCAGTGACCCAGACCCCCTCGAGTAATGAAAAAATCACGACGGGAGGTTTTTCGCCATTTTCGGCCTCTGGGGGCCCTCACCGGGCCTCGGGCGCGTCAAAAAACGACCCAGGATGACAAACCGGTCCTGGGGAAGGGGTCGGGACCTCTGGGGGTCGACGTAATGAAAAAATCATTACGTCGGGGGTCTGGGGAGGTGCTGCGCGGGCGTTGAGCCAAAAAACGCCGACGAAGGTTGGCCGCACGGTTTTGAGACTCGGGTGGTTTTTCGAGGAGGTCTCGGGCGACCGGGGCCTGCAAGGTCCTGAAACCGTACTCGGAAGCCAGGCGAGGGCTGCTGAATCCGTGGCTGCTCAAATCGACCTCCGGGAAGTTGCCTTCGTCTTTCCGGGAAGAAGCCCGTCGATTGTTTCGCGTGCCGCGCCTCATTCCGGGAAATGCTTATTTCCTTCCGGGAGGGCTGTTTTAGCAGCCACGGTTTTAGCAGCCCTCGCCCAGCTTTCGACCTAAGGTGACGGACCGTGCTAGAGTCTCTTGGGATTTCGAAGTAACATCGCGGTCCGTCAACGCACCGGTTCGGGGTCCGAAAGGGGGGGATAGGGACAGAGGGTAGTATTCCTCAAAGTTTTTCATTCCATGGACAGCAGATTTCGCTCAAAAAACAAACACCCTGGACTGGGCCCTGGGCGTTTTCCTTGGGCCTCTTTTATTTGAAGAAGTTCGTAGATGTGGACCTGGGCTGCTGGTTGAGAAAACGCCATGTGTGAAGCCGATTTTCTTGGCGTAGCATTTCCTGACTTTCAAGCAGGAGTGTACGACATCTGCTGCATGCACCCGGTTTTGGCCCCGCCGCCGATGTGTTTCCTCGACATCTCGGCGCCTCCAGCGACAGCAGGCGCTTATAACATCAGCTAGTCGGACCGAGGTATAAGATCGAGGTCGGCTTGGGGAGTGCACCCTAATGTTCTTCGTGCTTGTTGGATGTTCTGGTGAATCCTGGGGGAGGGCACCCTCGAATATTCTTCAGTTTGGCTGGCGGAGGGTCTCATGTTCTTAAAGGGTGTTCTTCTGTCCTTGGTCCGGCTGCACGTGAGTTGCTATCCTCCCATTTACTGATCCCCCTTTCGTCCGACCCGACACCAGGGGGGCCAGACTTGCTCCTGGAAATCGAGGTCGGCGGCGTGCGAGGGGGGGAAGTGAGATGGAGAAGGCCTTCACAGAAGGCGGCAGGACTTCTCAGAAGCCGTCCGGCCTCCCGAGAGAAGTGCTCTGCGTCTTCGGGGGAGGCCTCGAACACTTCTCAGGAGGCCGGGGACTTCCGAGCCTTTCTGAGAAGGCCCGCCCCTCCTCACTTCCCCCCCGGGCTCGCCGCCGACGAGGGCCGAGGAGGAGGGAGGCTCGGGGATGGAAGGTCCGGGCGCAGCTGGGCGGCCCCTGGGGTCTTGAGGGGGTGGCGGCCCCCCCAGTGGTGGCCTCCATTGGCATTACCTGGGAGGTCCAGCTTCCAGAGTCTGGGGCACAGCGTGAAGAGCTTCTCTCCCAGCACCTACTTCGAGGAGAAGTACTTCTGGCAGAAGGCCAACGTGGGCCCCTTCTTCCTCTTGCTCTTCTGCACCCCCGTCATCTACCGTTCCTTCAAGGACTTTTACTGGACCCGTCAGCTGAGGAAGCTCAACACGGAGGAGGTCATCGCAGACCGTTATCAGTGGCTCAAGCTCGGCATGCTCCAGGCCGGTTCAGGCTAACACAAACATGCACTTTCTGAGGTCCAGGCTTAAGTCGGGCGTGTCCCCCTACAGGAGGAACACTCGAGAACAGGCAAAAATCAGTTAGGGGGATTCGTGTTCGTGGCCTTCGACTGGTAATTGCCAATTGTTTGAATTGTTTTAAGGTGTTTCCCCAACAATCCGCCTGTCGGAGTACATGCCCGACCTAAAGCTCACATGAACATGCTCAGAGCCCCGAATCATCAGGGGTAACTCGGGTCAGGGATAATTCGGGTTCTTTTTCCGGGAATCCAAACCCGAGTTACCCCGGACCCGAGTTACCCCGGATAACTCGGGCGCCCAGAGCCCCGAATCATCAGGGATAATTCGGGTCAGGGCTAACTCGGGTTTCTTTCTCGGGAATCCAAACCCGAGTTACCCCGGACCCGAGTTACCCCGGATAACTCGGGCGTCCAACATGCACTTTCTGAGGTCCAGGCGGGTTTCGTGATGCAGCGCTGGCCGCCTCGCCCCCCCCCCGCACACGAAGCGCCGCCGCCATGGGGGGGGGGTGGGCATCGCGGCCCGGGGGCTCCGCGCGGAGGCCCAGAAGTTAATGTCTATGTCGTCTTCTGTTCTACCCGTGGATCGTTTTCTGACTCGTTGTCTTGCCGATCGGCGCGGGCCCTCGCACCCCCCCCCCAAAATGGAGATGAACCCTGGCTGTCTTGGGCACCCGTCTCGAGCGGGTGGCGTCTCCCCCACAGGACGCCCTGCTGCAGACAGTCGCATCAAGCAGAGGTCCTGAGCCACACTCCCCCCCCATCCCTCCCCCCCATCCGCCCAATGTCGAAATGCCGAATAAGAATCCCTTAGGGCTTGTCGACTTTTGGCCAATCGACTTGTGAGAATCGAGCCAGATAAACCCAGGTAAATGCAGATAAATCGAGGTAAATCCAGGTAAATCTAGATAAATCTGGGTAAATCCAGGTAAATCCAGAGATCTCCAGGGAAAGTTCGAGCACTTCGCGGCCGCTCCAGCGCGAGTCGAAGGACGGCAGAAGTCGTTAAGCCTTTAACGAAAGAAGACGTTCGCAAGGACGAGGTCGACGCCGTGCTCCTCAAGCAGGTCCCCGCGTCGGGCGTGGCGCCGCTGGTGCTGGGGCCCTGCCTGCCGCCGTGAGGCGCCCAGCGCGGCACGCCCTCGAGCGATGTGCCCCCCCCCTGGGCGCTGATGCAAACAAATAATTAATAATAATAATCATAATAATTATAATAAGAATAATAATAATAATGATAATAATAATAATAATAAGCAAACAAAAAATATGCAGAACAGGGGTGCTGGAAGGGAGGTGTCCTTCAGGAGGAAAAGAAGCACACAGACACAATGAATCGTCGATCCCCAGGAAAATATGGGAAACTATGGGACGTGGGGGGGAAAACAATAACCCAGGAGATATGGGAACATATGGGGAATCCTTTTCTTTGTGTCTATTTATTAGAGTGTGTCCCAGTTCCCCTTCAGTCCTGGAGGTTGTTCGCTTTCTTCCGACCCCTGGGGCCCTTCAGGGGCCGCAAGATTGGTCGGAGAGCGCGTTGCATGGTGAACACGGTGGTGCATGGAACATCGCATGTTTGGTCCAGGACCCGCTTCCACCATACCCCCGAAAGCAATGGAGGAGGTTGTGTGCGAGGGGTCTTCTGACCAACTGCCAGACGAATTCTAGCAGGATTTCTCGGGACTCTCGGGGTCCACTCTGGATTCTTGGGGTTCTTTGGATTTCTTTGGAAGTTTGGGGATGATTCGGATTTCTCTGGATGTGTTGGGACTCCTGGGAACTCTCGGATTTCCCTTGTTTTCTGTGGATTGCGAAGGCCTTTTGGCCGGTGTCGCCGACCCTGAAGACGACGACGATGAACACGAGCAGGGGGGGGAGGAGGCGGAGGAGGAGGAGGAGGAGGAGGAGAAGGAGGAGGAGGAGGAGGAGGAGGAGGAGGAGTGGGGGGGGAAGAAGAAGAGTGGAGGAGGCAGATGAGGGAGGAGGATGGGGGGGAAGGATGAGGAGTAGGAGGAGCAGGAGGAAGAGGAGGAGGAGGAGGAGAGGCGGCAGAGGAGGAGCAGGAGGAGGGGGAGCAGGGGGGGGGGAGGAGGAGGAGGAGAAGTAGGAGTAGGGAGGGGAGGAGGAGGAGGGAGGAGGAGGAGGAGGAGGAGGAGAGGAGGGAGGAGGAGGAGGAGGAGGAGGAGGGGAGGGGGAGGGGGAGGAGGAGGAGGAGAAGGAGGAGGAGGAGGAGGAGGAGGAGGAGGAGGAAGCAGAGGAGGAAGCAGAAGAGTAGGAGACGTTGTGGCATTATGGAATCTTTTCATGGTTTCGTGGGCGCTCGAGGGGGAAACGTATCTGGGCGGCATCCCCGCTGGGATTCTCCCCTGACCCGCGCCCCTGGGACCTCCCCGTTGGGGAGGGATTGAAGGGAAGGGGCTTGGCTGTCCAGGGGGGTTCTTGCGGATCCGTCGTGGCGACCCCCCCCTCCTCCAGCGCATCTACAGAGGGCATCACTGTAAAAGCAGCAAACGGGTGATGTTTTTCTGACCCGGGACCCCCCCCCCGGGACCCCCCCCCCGGAACCCCCCCATGGGAACAATCCCCCGCCCCCCCGGCGGGGAAGGGATCAAAGGGAAGGGGCTCCCCTTCGACTCAATAACAATGTTGGTCATTCCGCTTTTGCTTCATTTCGCTTTGGCTGGCGTGCTTGAGGACGAGGGCCCAGGGACGGAGGGGGAGAGCGGCGGCGGACCCAGAAATGAAACGACGAGTACGCACGAGGATAACAACCACGACGAACAACGCATTCCACACGCCGACAGGGCCGGCGGATTTGGAGATTCTCAGGGTTGCTCGGGATGTCTTGGGATTCTTCGGGTTTCTTTGGATGTTTTGGTATTCTTGAGATTTCTCGGGATGTCTTGGGACTCTTGGGAGTTCTGGAAATCTGCTGGGACTCTTCAGAACTCTTGGTTGTCTTGGAAAGTCTGGTGGTATCGTAGGATACTGTCCGTAGCCGCGCTGGCTGAGGCTCCACGCCAGGCCCCGGCAGCCAGAGCAATGCCGAACAGAGCCGACGCTCAGTCCCAGCGCGTCAGGCCCGGGACGGAACGCCAAGGCCCGCGCTCTCAGACGGTCAGCTCGGCATCCGTGTGCGTCGAGTCTGCGCAGGGCCCGCCAGGCATTCAGCGGGGCCTGGCGGCCCTCAGCACCCCGTGGCCCACCTTGCAATCCATCGTGCCGTGGCGCCCGGATGCTTTCAGTGCTGAGGCGGTGCTCCAGGTCGTTCAGCCCGACGCCCCGTATCAGAAGCTGTTGTCGCCAGGAGCACAGCGCCCGAGAACGCTGGACACAGACGACCGCAGTATGAGTAAGCGTGCGTGGGGGAGCGCGTCGCAGGAGTGGCGGCGTCAGATCACGCGTGCGCTGAGCGACGCGGCCAGCTCACTGTGAGGTCAGCTCAGCTCATTCTAATCTTTCTCAGTGGGTAACCCACTGAAGTCAGCGATTTTCCAGAGCGCTCACAGGCTGCTTGCAACACGCTTTGCTGAGTTCAGCGTTCTCGGAATGTTTCCAGCACGCCGCAGGAGTAGTCTTTGTTTCCATCATTGAATACCAATACGTGTACCAGCGATCACGCGCGGACGTCCTGAGAGTTACCGTTGCGCTCTTCAACTCGCGGCCCGTCTTTCGACGATGTTATTGGCCAGTTCTCAGGACGTTGCGGTTCGCCATCTTCGGCGTTCGAGGCCCTTGCATTATTTACGCCACTTCTCATTGTAGAAGTCGGGGGAAAAGTGATTTTTCTTGTCGGTGAATGCAGATTTCGGTCGCGGGGGCGGGGCGCAACTAATTCCCCGCGTCCTAAGTGGGGCTTTTGATTTCTTTGGACACCCCGCGCACCCCCCCCCCTCGCCCCCTCTCCTCCTCGCGCACTCACGTGCCATCGCGCTCCCCCCCCCCACCACGTCGCCATCGCAATCGTGATCGCACTCGTCATCGACAGTACCACCTTCACGATCATCACCTTCATCATCGTCATCAGCGCGCACATATTTTCATTCATAATCATCAGCACGCTTCTTTACATAAGCACACACGCACCCTCTTCTCCACCTTGCCAGCATCATCCGTCAGCATCATCATCATCGACCAATCACCAGTCACCACCACTCACCATCACCACCATAATCATCGCACATTCATCACTATCACCATCCCATCGTGACCACCGACCAAGAGGGAGCCTCGCCGATAAGTGAATTGCTAGGAAATCTCAGGCGGCAGCCCCCTCCTTTGGGGGCCCGCGCTTTTCATTTTTTAGCCGAGCGGGTCATCGGAACCATGTGGATGTCGTCACTTCTCGACCCTTCTGGATTGCATGGGAGTCTCAAGCGAGAGCCCCGCATTTTGGGTCCCGCACTTCATGTCTTTGCATGCAGGCAGGTAGCCGGAACCTTGTAACCGTTGTCACCGTTGGGCCCCGCAGGCTTAACTATCACGCGGGCGCCTCGTCTGTAAGTGAATTGCGACGAAGTCTTAGGCGGGAGCCCCTTCCCCATGGATCCCGTATTCAATCTGTTTAATCCGAGCGGGCCATCGGAGCCCTGTAGCCGTCGCTGTCGGCTCTTCGGGGTCGAATTTGGAGGAAGTTTCAGGCGGGAGTATCGTCTGAAAGTGACTTGCTAGGAAGTCTCAGGCGAAAGCCCCCTCCCCCGCTTTATGGGGTCAGCATGTCACGTTGGCAATCCGAGCAGGTCATCGGGAAATCGTATTTGTCCTTATTTTTCTGCCCCCCTGGATTCATGCAGAGGAAGACTCAGGCGGGACCTGTGTCTGTGTGTGAGTTGCGGTGAAGTCTCAGGCGAGTGCCCTCTCCGTATTGGGTCCGCGCTTCACGTTGGCAATCCGCGCGGGTCGTCGAACCGTCGTCACGTTTCGGCTCCACTGGATTGAATACAGAGGAGGTTTCAGGCGGGAACTTTGTCAGTAAGTGAATTGCGAGGAAGTCTCAGGCGAGAGACCCCCCCGTTTGGGTCCGCATTTTATGTTGGTAATCCGAGCAGGTCATCGGAAACTTAAGCTGTCGTCGCATGTCGGCTCCTTTGGATTGAATACAGAGCAAGGTTTCAGGCGGCAGCTTTGTTTGCAAGTGAATTGCGGAGGAAGTCTCAGGCGAGAGCCCCCCCCGCTTGGGTCCGAGTTTTATGTTGGTAATCCGAGAAGGTCATCGGAAACTTAAGCTGTCGTCGCATGTCGGTTCCTTTTGATTGAACACGGAGAACAAATCGGGCGGGAGCTGTGATTGCATTTCGTGGAAGTCTCCTTATGGGGTCCACACTTCATGTTGGTAATCTGGCGGGTCGTCGGAAAACTATCGTTGTTCTTACTGCTTGAGTCTTCTGTGCTGGATATGGAGCAAGTCTCACGCGGGGGCTTCGTGTGTGAGTGGCTAGCGCGGACGTCGCAGGCGGGACCCCCATCCCTATGGGGTCGGCATTTTATGTTGGTAATCCGAGCAGGTCATCGGCAAATTCCACCAGGCATAGCACCTGAGCACCCCAAAGGGGTACATCACGAGGCGTTATTCGTGGGTTTGTGAATGAGTTGCAAGGGAATCTCAGGCTGGAGCCCCCTCCCTAGTCACAAGTCGCGCGAAGAGTTCGACAAGAGAGTGGTGGGCTCCAGGGTTGAGGCGGAGCAGCTCGCGGCACAGCTGAGCTTCGTGCTGCCTCCCGCCTGAGCGCGGCCGCGATTTACTCTGTGCCTGCGGGGTTGTCCCAACGGCTTGCTCTCGCGCCCCAGCGGCTCGTGGGGTTGTCCCAACGGCCGTTGCCCCGACGGTTTCGCGAATTTGCCATCGGAGAACGCGCCCCTGCCGGGCGCGGCGGCAAGGGCTCCGGGGAAAATCGGCGCGCGCCCCCTCTGCCAGGAAAAAAGAGAGGTGCATGAGGAGAACAGGCGGAATGGAGATGAGAGGGAAGCGGGAGAAAGAGGCGGAGGTGGAGGAAGTGGAGGATGAAAACGACAAAAAGGAAGAGGAGCCATTGCACAAGGAGGGCGAGCAGAAAAAGGAAGCGGAGGACGAGGAACACAAAGAGGATGAGGAGGACACGCAACAAAGGGCGATAGAGGGGGCTTCGGCCGGGGCGAAGAGAAAAATACGAAGGGCTATATACATATATTATCCTGTGGGATCATACCGTCGGAGTAATTTGTTTTGCGTTTCGGTACGGTGCTAACGATACTGCTCTGCTAAAGCCGCCCCCGCGGATCATTTATATTCGTTGCGGTGCTGACGATAACAAAGAGGGGGGTCCTTCATTGCCGGATGACGTGGGTCATCGATTGATTGCATGTCTGAAGGAGCGTTGCGCGTCAAATTCTGCACGCAATCGGTTGTCCACCAATTGCGTTCCAGGTGTTGTTTGCTATTGTCTTCTTCGCTGATGCGCGCGACCCCGAACAACCGCATCACCTTTCGTCAACAATTGATTCCTCGAAGTCATGAGTGGTGTTTACAGAACTGCCACAGCTGCGCAGCTCTGAGTGGGACCACGCGAGTCTCACTCGCAAGTTGGGTTGCCGCGCGAGTTTGGGCCCGAAGGTCTGCAGAGCTTCCACTGTCGGGGCACAGCTGGGTTCCCGCATGGCTTGTGCCCGCAATGCTTATGCTGCGCGGATGCGAATACATCCTCGTCACGGCACCACCTCTATTGCCACCTGTTGCGATGAGGCCGATCACGAATTTGTCCGAGTGTACCGTTTTAGCCGCGGGATATACAAGCATCGCAACCATGCCGACTTGAGTATGCACCCGAACTTCATTTGCGTGCCCAGCGACGGATGTTGAGCGTTGAGTGCGACGGACCATCGGATCATAGCGGGATTGATGTTGCGCGCGTAGGAACTAAGTGTATGAGTCCCGCTTTGTTGCAAAGTTCTAGCTCTTCCAGCGCACGGCACAGGGACACCCTGGAATTCTGCGAGAGGGGGGCGCAGCCCAGGGCCAGGGCGTGGAGGTGCGATGGCGGGCTCCGGGCAGGCCCACCCGCCCCCCCCGGCGAAATGGATCGCCACAGCCGCCTCGCGGCCTTCGACCGTGCGTGAGCGTGACCCCCCGCCGCGGTGACCTCGAGGTGCGGCCCCGCAGGGGGTGCCGCCCAGCGGTGGCCTGCGCGCTTGGATCTGCCCCCCCCCCCGCGGCCCCCTATGGAGGCCGCGCGCAGCAGGTCAGTCTTTCCCGGGCGGCGGTTTCTCCAGATCCGCCTTGTGGAGGATCGATCGTCGAGGCCTTCTGCAGGCGGTGGGTCTGGATATGCTGGGGCCTCCCTGGGGCCAAAAAGACCCCCCAGGGGCCAAAGTGTGTCCACATCCGCCGCCCGCTGGGGTCCCAGGACGTCGGTGCGTCAGGCGGGCGCTGCGCTGCCTCCTCGCGGGCTGCCCAGGCGCAGCGCCCGTCGAGCTCGGGCGACCCCCGGCCGCCGCTTGGGCCACCGCAGCCGACCGAGTCGCCAGGGGGCCCGCCTTCTCCGCGGGAGTCTCGGGTTCTAGACCTCCCAAATGGACTCGGAATGGATGGTGGCGACAGGTTCCGCCGCATAGCAGGTGCGTCGGGCATGCGGTTTGATGTTAAGCCAACAAACATTCCACAACAAAAACACGAAATCTGGCGTCGGGGAACTGGGGGCTCGAAAGAGTCGCGGCGGCCCCTGGTTTCAGAGTGGTGGGATTCTGGATAAAAGAGTTTTTTCCAGAACCCAGATAACCTTCTTGGGGCAATAGCTGTGCAACGGCACAATGAAACTGTCACGGAATACCACTCGGAGGTGGTGACCATGTCGAAAAGTCAGAAGAACAGTGAAATGCCTGAAGTGATCCAGACAGTGCTCGTCTGCCAAGGCCGTGGCGCCGCGGCTGCCAAGCTGTGGCTCAGCACGAGGAGCCAGCCCGCAAAAGGAGAGGGCCGAGCGGTCCGTGGGCCCGAGGCTCGGAAGCCTCAAGAACAGAGTGGTGGGATTCTGGATAAAAAAAGCCGTGGCGCCGAGGCTGCCAAGCTGTGGCTCAGCTGTGGCTCAGCACGAGGAGGGCCGGGAGCCGAGCGGTCCGGGGGGCCCGCGGCCCGGGGGCCTCGAGAGCAGAAGCATGCGGAGGCCCGCGCGGACTTTTGGCAGGCGCTGGGCCCCCGCCCCCCGCCCCCCTCCCTCCCGCGCAGCGCGCCAGGCCCGCCGCCGCCGCGAGGCCAAGAGGGCCGAGGCGCACAGGCGGCGCGCGCCCTGGTCGGGCGCCATTTCTTTCTCCGGCTTCTTCGAGGCCGGGCCCCTTCCCAGCTGCCCTCCCCCCCCCGAGGAGGGGTAGGAGGTAGCTCAGGCAGGCGCGAACGCGGACCCAGGTCCCATGTCACCGTCCCACCACCACCCGCGCAGCGCGGCGCTGGGGGCGGCTGCCAGGGCGTATACAGCAGGTGCAGGAAAGGTACACGTGGTTCATTCCCTAGTTCTTCCGAAGTTCTTCGATTGTGTCTTGGGGGGGCCAAGATCCTTTCGTTTCCTGGCTGTTCTATCCTGGGCCTCTTCCTGGCCACCAGGGGGCCAGGAACATTCAGGAACGAGCGCACTTAGAAATGGGCACGATTAGAAATGAACGACGTGTATACAACAGGTGCAGGCAAGGTACGCACCCTGAGATCCTTCAGTTCAGCGATCTGGCCCTTGGGCGTCTCCATGGCGACTGGGGAGGCGAGGATTACTGAACTGATGGAGGCTCAGGGGCCAGATCGCTCAGGGGCCAGGTAGTTGAGCTGAAGGATCTCAGGGGGCGTACATGGGTGCGCGCGGCAAGCTTATGCCCCCACCTGCCACCGTAGTAAACTTCCCCGCCGCCCTGGGACAGGCGCCCCCGATCGCGGACAAGCTTTTGATGCACCGTCCTTCGCCCGCGCCTTGACGTCGGTGGTGGTGGTAAAGTTTGAGCTTCGTAGGTGGCTGAAGGTTTACCCATCGGTCGTTGAAAGTAGGTATTCTCGGAGTCCCATATTCCAATCTACTTTCAGCGCCTCCCTACTTCAGGTGATCGAGTGGCTTCACCTGTTCCGTCCTCCCAAGGGTGCGGACGGAACTCAACCTACTTTCAGCGCCTTCCTAGTTCATGCTCCTACCTGCGCTTCTTCCCACCGATGGGCACCACACCAGCACCTGCATCCTGGGTCCTCCTCCCCCAGTGGAGGCCCCCCCCCTGTGCTGGTGCTGGTGCCCATCCCCGGGCCCACCGGCCCGAGAGCCCGCTGCCCCCCCCCGGCGTGCCCCCGTGGCCGCCGGCAGCCCAGACGACACGGCACCCGCCGGGCCTCAGGATCGAGGACTGCCTCGAGAAGGACGTGTGGTACCTGCGCCTGCTCGCCAAGCTCCTCCGCGGCGTCGACTCGGCCTGAGGGTGAGGGGTGCTCCCTTTCCCCGCGGCGCGCCCGCCGCGGCAGCGGGGCGCGCTCCCCGCTCGGGCGGCCGACGTGCCAGGACCGAGCCGATGCGAGGCCCGGGGCCGCCCCGAGGCCCTGCCACCCCAGAGCCCCAACGCGGGCGCTCTTCGCCACCTTCGGTCTCTGGGGAGCCCTCGCCAGGCCCTGTGGCCGCCAGCAAGAACTCGTCAGGATGGAAAGCCGACCCTGTGGAAGACGTCGGGGTCTCCAAGAACCTCGAACTACAAAGGCTCAGGACGTCGGATGTCCGGGGCTCCAACGCCGCGATTCCGTTCGATCCTGGCGTCTTGCTCCCGTGTAGGAGGAGGAGGAGGAGGAGGAAAAGGAGGAGGAGGAGGAAGAGGAGGAGGAGGAGGAGGAGGAGGAGGAGAGGAGGAGGAGGAGGGAGGAGAGGAGGAGGAGGAGGAGGAGAGGAGGAGGAGGAGGAGGGAGGAGGAAGGAGGAGGAGGAGGAGGGAGGAGGAGGAGGAGGAGGAGGAGGAGGCGGAGAAGGGGGCCTCTGCGGGCCGCCCGTGGGGCCGTCAGACGAGGGCCCAGGGCGACAGTCCGAGGCCTCCAAGCGGAACGGTGACCAACCGCGCGGTGAATCAGAGTGGGGATGCGCTCTCTGACCATCCTCCTTCCTCCTCCTACCTCCTCTCCTCCTCCTCCCTCCTCTCTCCTCCTCTCCTCCTCCTCCTCCTCCTCCTCCTCCTCGTGCTCCTCCTTCTGCCTCATCGCGCCCCCCCCCCACCACATGCGATCCACTCCTCCCCCCTACCTCCCCCCGCGGCGACCCCGCGGAGATGCGGGGTCGCCGCGCGGTCTTCGGGCGTCGAGTTTGGGCAGTGCTCCGAGGACGTCTCTGGCGACGGGTCTCCGGGGTGCCACAGCCGTGCGGCGACCTGTGCCACCGCCTCGTCTCGGGACCGCCGCGACAAGCAACAGCCCCCGAGGGAATGGGGGTCGGGGCCCGCGGGCTGATACATCATCCATCAGTTGCCTGGGCCAGTATGCACCGCCGCTGAGTCGACTCCAGACCGCGCCTGGAGTGGTGGACTCTGGCCCTCCCAGGTGGGGTCGGACCAGATCGGGTCCCAGGATCGCGCCGCATCGGCAATGCATCGGCGATGCGACGCGATCCTTCGACCCCATCTACCAGGAGTCCTCACTGGACGTGGATGTCTGCCGCGTGGAAGTGGCCTTGCGTCCATCACACCCCAGATATCCATGGAAGGTCTCCAGTCAGCTGTGGATTAGGATGTGGTCCTGCGGGTTCGGAAGACAGTCGTTGGGTAGCAAGTCATGGACCCCTTATATGTCCTCGGAAAACTCTGTCTTGAAATTGCAGTAGCGTCGCTAGCATCTGGTCGTTAATGAGACAGCGCCGACTTAGCGTCGATTGACATCGATCTGGCCCAGATGAGTGTCAGTTAGCGTCGATTAGCGTCGATCAGCGTCAGCCAGTATCGATTCGGACGAGGCAGCAAGATGGCATGGGAGGATCTCATGAGATACCAGAGAAGCATGGAGGACCTCTGCTGGGGTTGTGGAAGCAGATGGTTGCCAGCGGGGACTTCTCCGTAGATCCCCCGCCTCCCAGAAATCCAGGGTAGGCTTTCAGGCAGCTTTGGATGGGGACGTGACCCTGTGGGTTCGGAGGACATTCGGCGATCGACGCTTTACCCAGACAGTGAATCCAGGCCTCTCAGAGGGGGGATCGAAGGATCGGGTCACACTGCCGATGCATCGGCGATACCGCTCCGTGTGGGGCCCGGCTTTCTCCACGCCGGCATGGCCGATGCATCGGCGCGATCCTCTGATCCCATCTACTCGGTCCCCGTTTGGGAGCCCTCAGTGAAGCCGAGGTGGAGGAGGAGGAGGAGGAGGAGGAGGAGGAGTAGGAGGAGGAGGAGGAGGAGGAGGGAGGGAGGGAGGGAGGGAGGGAGGGAGGAGGAGGAGGAGGAGGAGGAGGAGGAGGAGGAGGAGGAGGCCCACTGGCGGCCGAGGCCTGCCGAGTCCCTTCGTTCCGTATGCAGCGCTCCTTGTCGCGTCGCGCCGTTGGCTCTGCCCGCCACGCTTCGGTGCGACACGCCAACCACGACCGAGACCCCAAGCGTCAACGTCCCGAGCTTTTCCAAGCCTCCCGCCCCGCGAAGCGGAGCGACGCACTGTCCGCTTGCATGGCACGGCGTGTCGCCGGGCCCCCCGCCGCGACACGGTAAGCAAGAGGTCCTGACCGTGAAGCGATTGGCTTGGCATCGCTCGGACGTGTGCATTTTGTCCATCGGCGAGGACCATCGAGGAGCATCCTTGACCATTTGGCGAAAAAAACACGCACGAAACCGAAAAAAACACAGGGAATGGACGTCCGAGCGATGGCGAGTTGGAGCATGGATGCAAAGCTTGGTTCCAGAGGCCAGATCCCATTCGCGCACACATGCTCTGGCCCCTCGTGGGAGTTGGGCGTGAGCAGGGGGCATCGACGGAGCGCCGATCGCCCCGGACGGGCTCGCCGTCGTCGCTCGGCGCCGCCGCCGTCGCTCGGCGCCGCCGTCGCCGTGGAGTTCGCCGCCGTCGTCGAGTCAGTCAGTCGTCGTCGTCGTCGTCGTCGTCGTCGTCGTCGCCGTCGTCGTCGTCGTCGCCGTCGTCGCCGTCGTCGTCGTCGTCGTCGTCGTCGCCGTCGTCGCCGTCGCCGTCGTCGTCGTGATCGTCGTCATCGGCGTCGCCGAGGCAGGCGTTCGGCCTGCCCCCTTTGCTGCTCCCGTCGCTCGCGCCCGGCCGAGAGTTGGTAGTCCCCAAACGTGGTGGTGACAACACCTGGCGGTGAGTCTCGGGCGATTTATTGTCACCACCCGGTTGGGGGACTCGTGCGGTTTTCCGAGGATGCCCCGGACACTGGTGGGCCCAGGAGCCACAACACCCGGAGGTGACCCCGCGTCCCCAAACCCAGCGGGGACCTTTTTGGGGATTCCAGGTCGCCACTTGGTATCTCACGAACGGCTCGGCGGCGCAAAAAGGGGGGGGGGAAGAGGGGGAGGGGGAAGGAATGAGAGGAGGAGGGGAAAGTGGAGGTGGAGGTGGAGGAGGAGGAGGAGGGGGAGGTGGGGGGTCCCCAGAGAGAGCTCTCGCGGGGGGGGGCGGCGCCGCGGTCGCCCGGGGGGCCCCCCGGCAGGCCCGCGGGGCCCGCGATCCGCAGGCCGCACGGAGCGGGCGGGCCCGGGCCCGGGCGCAGGTCGGCCCAGGAGGGCCCAAAGGTCCCAAGGGGCTCCCAAGAGGGCCTCAGGACGGCCGCGAGCTCCTCCTTATTATTATTTATTATTATTAATAATATTATTATTACTATTATTATGATTATTATTATTATTAGTATTATTATTAGTAGTAGTAGTATTATTATTATCTTTATTTGTATCATTAGTATTATTATTAATAAGATTTTGCATTTTTATTTTTATTATTATCAGCATCATCAGTGTTATCATTATTATTAGTATTATTATTATCAGTATTATTGTTTTTACTATTATTAGTTAGTATGTATGTATTTATGTATTTATTTATTTATTTATTATGATTATTGTTATTATTACTATTATTATCATCATTATTATTTTTAGTATGATTGTGAGTATTGTTATTATTGGTAATAATAGTATTATTATTAGTATTATTATTAGTATTATTAGTAGTATTATCATTACTACTATTATTATTAGCATTAATCTTATTAATATTTTTTAGTATTAGTAATAGTATTATTAGTAGTAGTATTAGCATTATTATTATTAGTAGTAATAGCAGTAGTAGTAGTAGTAGTAGTAGTAGTAGTAGTAGTAGTAGTAGTAGTAGTAGTAGTAGTAGTAGTAGTAGTAGTTCCAATTCCATAATCATGATTATTATTATTCTCCTCGTCCTCCTCCTCCTCCTCCTCCTCCTCCTCCTCCTTCTCCTCCTCCTGCTGCGCGGCCCAGAGTCGGGTGTTGCTAGGAGTGCC